TTACAACGTCGAGACGTAACCGTTTCATGGCTTTTTCTAAAGTTGCAGACGAATTACGCCGTGCAACTGGAATGAGATTATGTGGACAAAGTGTACGAAACCAGCTAGGTTTAGCAAATCTTTGAGCTCGAAAACTTCTCAAAGCAGAACCACTAACTCAACGTCATTGACAATCCCGGCTCGCATGGACAGTGAGCGTCCGCGTACCGCATGACACACAAGTTGTCCTTCATCAGAATAATGTTAAGATCTTCGATTGGCTTGGGAGAGTGATAGATTTGTTACCAGTTGAACACGTTTAAGACATTCTTGGTCGTTGTTTAAGACAACGACATCACGTCAACAACGTAGCGGACCTGACCCTTGCCATGCAGCAGGAGTAGAACCAGATTACCATGCTTGAGATACAAAACCTTATAAGGAGCATGAGACGCCATTGTGTTGTTGTTTTTGATGCAATTTGAGGCCTTACTCAATATTGAAATTGAACAGGACTTTTAAAACCCGTATCCGTGGATACCCTCAATTTCATCCGATACCATACAAGGCGTTTGAACCGCAAGTCATGGTGGGTATTTAAAAGATGAAACAGGGTGTCCACGGCAGGAAATATAGCGTAATTTCACTATAATAGTGAGATACCACTATTATAGCGGAATTTATGTTTCCCCCCAACCTGCTGAATATGACTTTTAAAACTCGTATCTCGTTTCACAATATTTCTTACAAAACATCACAGAATTGTCGATAAAATTTGCCTGATTTTGTTATGTGATGACACGATCACATAACAATTTAATTGTTAGTGCTGTGTCTATTTTTTTTACTAAATATCTAAAATTGCTAAACTAATTTTGCTCTGTATATATTTCCAAATTATTTATACATTCCTAAATTACAAGTTTTCAGGTCTTCTTTTTCATATTAATCACAACGTTCTGCACTATCTTCGACAGAATTAATTAATTGGTTAATCAATCGACAGAGGTATTAAAAGAATGAATTATTTGTCGATAACAAGCTCTAAAGTCCAATAAACAATACAAAATTGGAGCAAAGCAAACACAGACCTCCAAAACATCAGAGGTGTGATCAGGTGCCATGGAGGCGTGAGCATCACCTGCCGACCGGTCACACAATTTTAATACGTGGAGCATGCTCATGCATATCGAAACAACTGAGATATATAAACCCAGTATGCAGATGTTGAAGGTATATTGTGGTATAAGAAAGGGAAGATGACAATTAAACAGAATAAGTCATCACTTTTATCATTAAGCTTGGTTGTTAGATTGCCATTAACTTCTATAAAAAAAATTCAAATAGGAAACAGGTCAGACTCAATGCATCTTTTATCTAAAGCTCACCAGGATATATCGTATCGACATAAGAATGAAAATTACCATTGTTAATTGACAACACGTCGTCGATATATCTAAATGTCGAGTTGAAAGCCTTAGCAAGTGTTTTCTTCTTTTCACACATAAGATTTTGCTTAAACTCTGCTTCATTTGAATACCAAAATAGGTCTGCTAATAACGGAGCGCATTTGGTACACATGGGAATTCCAATAGTTTGTTGGAAGTCAAGGTGTCAAACAACATAGATATTGTCAATCGGAAAGTCAGACATCTTCTGATCTCAGAGTACATTTGTGTGCAATCAAAATGTTGTTAACAAAATAATTTTGCAAATTGCAAAATCACAAAATTTACGAGTTCCATTTTTATTGAAAAAGTAGCTGTCAACGGTATAAAAATCCTGGAATTCCATTGATCTTTGAGAATGGTTGTATATAAGTTGAAATGTCATAAGCTTTTAAGTTGTTGATTTTGGTAAACCCTTGCGATTTAAATTGTCCAAAAGTTCCTTGGAAATTGAAGAATATACATGACGGACATAGAGATAGTTAACACTATTCAATATCAAAGTCCAAAAAAACACTATACAAAATAGGAGCAGAGCAAACACGGACCCGCGAAACATCAGATGTGGGATCAGGTGCCATGGAGGAGTGAACATACCCTGCTGACCAGTCACACCCGCTGTGTGCTTCTTGTCATGATCGAGAAATAACGGAAAAATCAGTCGATTCAATGTATAAATAAAGGACTAACAATTAGAATGAAAAGCTTATGTCAGCATTTGACTCAATGATAAATTGTGTTTGCTGACAAGGTCATTGTATCGACCATAGAACTTACAAAATGATGACTTTAAACGAGACTGCTGATATTCTTGTTTCTTCAACTTTTTGGTAAGTAATTTTACTCGTTTTAAAAATTGTTCATACATAGAGCAAGCTCTTGCGTATCGAATCAACTGAGATATATACACTCCGTATGCAAGTGATAAAGGTATATTGCTGCATTGGTAAATGAGGTTGACGATATAAAAGTTAAAGTCAGCACATGTATCATATAGCTTGGATGTTAGATTACCATGAACGTCTTTTTCGAGTTAAATGTCCAAGTATGAAACAGATGTGTTAGATGCTTTGGTATCCTTTATCTCAAGCTCACCAAGATATATCGTATCGACGTGGGAATGGAAATTACCATTGTTAATTGACAATACGTCGTCGATATATCTAAATGTCGAACTGAAGGCCACAGCAAGTGTTTTCTTCTTTTCACGCACCTGATATACACCACTTCTTGAATAAATTGTTGCACAGTGTTCTTGAAGTTTCTCCTTCACTACTGGTAATATTTCAGTGAGGAGTAGAGAAAGATGCTAGCTAGGTTGAACATGTACTTAAACCCGCTATATATCTTTGTTTGTAAGGGTTCTTATATATTTATGGTAGTTCAAATTCATTTTGGTTCTTTAGGATATTAAAAATATTCAAAACTGACATATCTTTTTGAAGAATTTCTTCCTTAGGCAGGGAACTATGAGTATAAGTTGGATCACCATTTGTAGAATTAAATCCAAGTTCTTCTAAAATACAATTTATACAATGAGCATTATATACACGAAGACAATGTTGTTACCTTCTTTGTCAGCAGGGACCAGAACGCACTGATCATGCAATGTATCTAATTGTATTTTCACCTCTTGATTATTGAATACAGGAGGATATATGGTTTTCATATTGTCCCTCAATCTTTTCATACGCAATTTTAACATGAATCTGATATATTAAACCCATTCTCACAAAGTGTCAACGTCTTATTTTCGTTACTGGCTCACCGCCTGACGTAAACTTCAACAGGATCTATAATCTAAGGTTAAAGGGCTATATAACTAAATATTACGGAAAGAAAAATTATTTTGGAATTTTATTTGTGTTTTATTTTTCTGATGAGTCTCGTTATTACAGCAATTTTGAATTTGGACGAGTACCAATGGCACATCACTCTGTATGTGCTAAAAGAACGACACACTTCATTTTTCATCAAGATTTGGTTAAAAAAAGTAAAAAAGTAAAGTTCTTAGTTACGTTCTTATCACGATACTTACCAGTTGGTTATCCGTGGTTACTAACAAGAGTTCAAAGCGAAATTTTTCTGTAAATAAAAGGTAAATACTGTAAACCAACTTTTTTCGCGTGCGAGAGACATCTGCGATTTCCGCGATCGACTTTAGCTCGCGAATATTAAATGCCGCGAACCAATTAGTTTGCTACTTTTAAGTATTTGTACAGAATGTTTCCTCGGTCGCGAAAATTAATTGTAGCGGATTGATTTAAAACGGAGGAATTGCGAATAATAGTTGACGCGAAAAATAGTTGGTTTACAGTAAATAATAAAGAAAAAAGAACACATAAAACATCCTTAGTTCCCACTTTTGGTATCTCATAGATACAACTAAATGTGCAACTAACCATTCTTTCTCTTTATTTTTTGAACCCTTGTAAACATGACATACTTCAGTCAATCAAGTAACTCATCTTATGGCTTACATGAATATGTCAATTGAAACACCTTGATGTCAATGTTGTATTCAAAAACACTCATTTACCCCGTAAATAAACAATAGTTAAGTAAACATAAAATAAATTTCACATTTTGGGGCAAAGGAGACATTTTTTCATTCTCTTTCATCTCTTTAAGGAATCGATAACAGTTGCTTTAGTGAAGGACGATAAAGAATACGTAAAACTAAACTTATTGGTGTACTTAAAGCCACGTCTTTTGTTACAGTACATTTCCAAAAATCGAGACCGGAATTGGTTACTCATGCTACAGTACAAAACAAAATTGATGGCATTGTTCACAAGTGCAAGGAAATCCATAAAATCTCCCAAAGGCACGTACACAGATTTGTAAAAGTTTGGAACAATGGCACTCATGAAAATCACAATACCTTGAGGGAACTCTGTTACCAAAAATAGAATTATCACAACCAGCAACAGTTTGGTCGTCTTAGAATGCTTCGTGCCTCGTTTTGTGGGCGGTTGTCCGGCAGAGAGTCTAGTCCTTCGATGCCTTCCTTTAATTCCGAGACTGTACAATAATGACCCACCGAACACAATCATGAGTGCACACGGAATGAATTTGGCCACAATGGCATAGGAGAGAACGTTCGCGAGCACAATCGGCTTTGTTTCATTGGTGGCTAACTTTAAGTCATTAAGGACGTAAATTGTTATGTTGGGATCCATTTTTTGTTGTACAACTTCGTTGGTCAGGTAATTAGGGATTAAACACAGTGTAGAAAGAATATAAACTAACACAGTTGTGTATTTGACCTGCCGCATGCTCCTCATGCGTGCTAAAGGTCCCTTGGCTGTGGTCCGTAATTGTGTAAACCTGAATACTGCCAGTGAGACACCGAGCCATATCGAAATTGTGTGCGTTGTTGCTGCTAAATTTACAAGAACAAGCATGTACGTTGTCCAGCCACGAGAGAACTTTTCTTCAGAGATCTCATCAAAGTTGTGAATGCAGTAGAAGTGGAGGGAAAAGGGAATGTATGGAATCATCGTCAGGATATCTGAAACAGCGAGCCACGTCAGAAGGCAATTAGTGGGGTTCCACATATCTTTACGTGTAAGAATAGATATATTGAAGAGGTTCGTGAATATCCCAAAGATGCACGTGAACAAGCTGGCGTAGCCATGGATACGTGTGAACCAATGGCCGAATGTCATGAGTCCGTTGGTTGTTTCTGAACCCATGGCAGCGAAGGAAATATTTGTGTCGTTGATGACTGACAAATCCGTAAAAAGGATCCAATTTTCTGTAAAGAGAAAACAAAATATTATACTGTTTGGAGTAAATCATGATAAACTTGTAAAAGAAAAACAAGTCTGCGTATCATTAAACTAAAATGATTTTTGTCGAGAGGAATTTGTTTTGCCAGATGACTAAAGAAACTGATTGTTTTGGTAAAGTACTCGGACGGGATACAGTTTCTCTGAATATTCATAAGTGAATTACAGATATTAAGCTTCTAATTGGCAGTTGCCTGATTTGTATAATGTCTCCTTAATTTTTTCGTGCCAAATACTCTGACAGCAGCTATTTACATATGAAGAATGAGTAAACAAATATTGTAATATAGTGTCAATATTCTCAAGACGTGGCATCAAATAGTAAAAGTAATGCCATCAATAATGTAGTCTGACAGTATAGGTAAATGGTCACAATGATTTTCATCAACAATCAGAATAAGATAATACAATTTCCATTTTTTTCTATACATACTTCTATTTTGAAATATCACAAAATATTTTTTATAATGTTTTCAGAAAACGTTAAAAAGGCAGAATTCATTCTCTCTCCAACGTTGGTCAATCGACTACCTTTAACTCCCTAGTCAATTTTACTTTTAACTTGTATAATTTATCCACCTCCTAAACACCTTTAAGGTAGAATTCTTCTCACACAAAACCGTATTTCTTGCAATTAGAAATTATTGAAATTTTCACAGAATCAAGAAGACAATATAACTAAGTGATGGTATCAGTTAGATTAGGTTTGTCCGTTTTATATAATAGTCAAGGTCAGGTCAAAGTCATTACCTTTTCCCTGGTCATTAAGAATAAAAGTAACTCTATCCAATCATGAGACAGGGTCTTCCAATTCACAAGATTAAATGTTTTCTTTTTGCATAAAAAGACATCACTACCTAGGGACTATAAGATGTTATTACCAAATTGATACAAATAGTTTAACAAAAATGGATTTTGGCTAATCCGAATTTCCTCTATTTTTCTTAAATTTTTAGGATATTTAAGTTATTTTTATATGCGCCCTATATTTAATTTTTTCTTATTTTCACATATGGTAAAGAAGTCGTATAGAGATACAAAATGATACAAAAACAACAAGTTTTGACCGTTTAGTAAGAGAGTAAAAACACTTTCTATGGATTTTTGGTTCATATCTGTACTTAGATTGGAAGCTATTAAAAGCTAATATAATTGTAGTTTGTGTGGAAATTCATATTTATTTGATATATTTTTAAACTTAAAATCCTTATTATTAATTTAGTTAACATTTGAAAAATTCTTCAAGTCTTTG